ATAATTTTAGTGAACTGCTATAATTGATAAACAATGTAGACTGAAAAGAGATATTCGTGCTATATTCTATGTTATAATATGAGTAAATAAAATAAGTTATAATATTTAAATCCTAGTCCAGGCAATCCATGCATAAAAATCCTTCATAAAATAATTATTATAGATTTATAAAAAATATTTTGTCTTCATAGTTTATATCTTGTACATGCATTTTATTTAAGATATATTACTTTGTATAATGCTAATAAATTTCGTAATTATTATACTTGTTTTTACAATAACTTCTCTATTTTATATAAATAAAAAAATTTATATTTTAATATAAATATTTAATTTATAATTTTGAATATAAAAAAATTACATTAAAATAATAAAGTAAGGATGCTATAATTTTTGAATTTATTAAAAATATTTACAAAAATATATTTAAAATAAAATAAGAATATAAGAAATATAGAAAATTTAAAATAAAAAATATTATATATAATTTCATAAAAAATTCATAAAAATTCATATTATAAATTCATAAAAATTGGTTTAAATTAGATTAAATAAATACATAAGCTTGAGATTAAAATTTTTTTTTTTAAATATTACATTATGTATTGTCCATGACTTCTAAAAATATATATAGGAACAAAAATTTACATAAAAATGTTACAGGAAAATTATATTTAAGTATTAATAATTCTGAAATTATGTTGCATATTAAAATTTATTATAAGGTTTAATATTTTTTTTTAATAATTTATAAAAATTGTAACTGTAATATATAATTTGTAATATATAATAACTGTTTAAAAGAAGTATTAAACATATCTGCATCTATTTATATACATACAATAATGAAATTTTTAATTTTTTAATGAAAATATTCTTATTATGAATTAATATATTTATCTAAAAATATATGGATTGCACAGACTAATATATATTTTAAAATAAAAGTAAATATTAGAAAAATGTAAATAAAAAATACTTTTCAAAAATTTTATTCATATATTCATATAGAAAGAATTAATGTGATTTAATTGTGAAGAATTAATTTTATGAAAATAAAATTTCAAAAAAGAATGTGTAATATCAGCAATAATCAAAATAATATATTGTTTAATCAAAGATATATTATTTTATTTAATGTTGTATATGAAATAAATATATATAAATAATCATACATTTAATAATTATTATAAAAATTTTAATTATCAATAAAATTTTATAAATATTTTTTTTAAATAAAAAACACGAATTAATAATGAAATTTTAAAAATTTATTTAGAAGCACGAATTCTCTTTAAGTCTGATTGTATGTATATATTAAAAAAATGAAAAAGAAGATGACTTTTTGATCACAACTATAAGACTACTATTATAAATTACTAAAAATTAATTTAGAATATTATTTTTAGTTGTTAATAGCATTTGTAAATATTCATTGAGTATATAAGATTTTGAAATTGAATCTTAATTATGAAGACTAGAATTTAGCATAATAGAATTTATTGAATTTTCCAAAGCTATTAACTTGATAATTTGAACTTAAAAAGTGATATATTAAACTAGCTAATTAAATATAGGTATGGCATATCAGTTAACAATTACTAATCAATACTTATAATCAATATAAATATTTGATCAGTTTTTTTCTCATTTATTTCCATCCATGTGTGATTTTTTAAATTTGATTACAATTTTTATTATAGTATATTCATTAATATTGAGTTAAAATCAATAATATTTTTTAAATCAATTTAAAAATGAAAAAAAATTTTAATTTTATTTTTATATTATGATACTAATTAATAAAAAATATATATATTTTTTTTAAATAACAAAAATATATACTAGTGAATATACTAATATTTAGATATAATTTTTGGCTTTAATTAGATATTAATTTTTATTTTTAGTAATACTATTTTCTAAATATGAATTTATAATATAATACAAGAGAAAATATGATCACTGTTCAAGAATTAACATTGATCAAATTTTAGAAGATAGAAAAACACTTCAGAGCACACATAGACGGGGATTTATGAGAGATTTTGTAGCAAATTTGCATACATTTTATGTAATTAATGTATGGAAAGTTAATAATATAATTTCAAAATTATAAATATCACGAAAAAATGATAAATTAGCAATCCGCCTTTCAATAAATAATGAATTAAACTTCTAGTATTATATTATATGAAATTGTTTTATCATATATTTACTGATGTATGTATGTGTATAATCTCTTTACAATATTATTTTTTTTATACTATTACAATATATTATATAAATACTAATTTTTATTAGAATTTTAATCTATAAATATCAATTATTCTGTCATGTATTTGTGATAATTTGATATTATCACTAATATAGTTAAAGCTTTTTAAATTGATATTATGTAGTTTGTACTTTATTTAGTACAAAACATTATGCATAGATATAAGATATAAGATATAATTAATAAATCTAAAAAGTTATTGATTATTGATTTTAACAAATTTTGCATGATACTAATTAAATTTTAATAAAAATTTTAATAAAATTATTCTATGTCAAATGATTATATATAATATATATAAATTTATAATCTTATTTAGAAAAAATGAAATAAACATATTTTGAATCAATTAATTTAAATATATTGAACAAATTATTTTGTATAAGTGTAATTTTAAATATGAAATAATGAATAATGTTTTATATAAAATAATAAATTTTATAGATTATTATGAATGTTAAATTATGATTAAATTAATGTAATAGAAGTTCAAGCTAAATTTTATTAGAAATTTATTAAATTTAATTATTTTTTTAACAATTATTAATTTTTTCTAAGAATATTTATTAATTAATGTTAATATTATTCAAATTTTCTGAATAATATAAATATTTTATTTGTTATATTAAAATTTTCAGAATCAAAATAAAGTAGAAAAAGAAATATTTTAAGAGAATTATAAAATTGTTTAAGAGTTTTTTTAAAATAATTATCTTTTTAACAATTATAAATTAATTAATAACAATTAATTAATAATAATTAACAATTGTGTATTTTATTATAAAAAGAAAAATTATAATTAAGAAAAATTATATAATTAATATTTTTTAATTATTATAATATTTTTTAATTAATATATTTAAATAAATTTTTTATTATATATATTATAAGGCATATTTCTTTATCAAGTTTTCTATTTAATTTTTATTAAAAAAAAAATAAAATATTGATAAATATAAAATATTTTATGATATTAAAAATAATTCTTTAGCAAAGAAATATTTTATTAATTATCTAAAACAACATACAATATAATTATACAATGACAATATATAAGTTGACATAGAATAATTACATATCAAAATCTTTATATTTATAAAATTTTATTCTGACTTATTTTATTTTTATTTATTTTTTTTTTTGAAGTAAAATATTCTTTAATATATCCTCTTGTATATATATTTGTATACTGTAAATATTCGTAAAAAGATTTCATTGATATTTATTTCTGTGTTCTGAAGATGCTTTCTATTTTCAATACTTGAATGTGTAAGTCCTCCAATATTGCGCCATTCTTTATATTATTGTAAGAAAAATTCATTTATAATTCAAATTTAATTTCATTTTTTATTTTTTTTATTTTTGCAACATCTCAGCATTGCAAAAATAATACTATATAAATCATAATTTGTTAAATGTATAAAATAAATTAATTATGTGATATATCATTTTTTACAATCTCTTTTCTATTTATTTTTACATTTACATATATAATATACACATATATGTATTGACAAATCAAAAATAATCATGAGCTATATTTTAAAAATATATAATATGTGAAAACATATATAATATATATAATGAAAATTTTAACTTTCACATTTGATGTAATAAATAAAAATAAAAATTGCTTTTATAAAATAATATAGTAAAAATTTTAACAATGCTAAGGTGTTTTAAAATAAATTGATTATTAATTGTATCAATAAGTGATCAAAAATACAGAATGTGCTCACATAAAACATTTTTCTGTAATATAAAATAATCTAATTATCAATAATAATATTCTTTAATACACATTTACTATTTTATTTG